TCTTTCTCTCTCTCCCCCTCCCTCCCTCCTTCCCTCTCTCTGCATCTCTCTCCTTCCCCATCTCCCTGCCCCCCTCCTACAGTTTGAGACTTAATCCTTGTTCCCACACCTGCCCTCACCAGAGCCCAGACCTACAGGGACACCCTGTCTTAGACCTCCAAAGCTGTGGACTAAGTAAACCTTATCTATTTAAAAAGTCAGGTGTTTCCAGGCATGGTAGCACATGCCTATAATCCCAGTGCTCAGAAGGCTGAGGCAGGAGGGTCACTGTAAGTTCAAGGCCAACCCAAGCTACATAACAAGACCTGATCTCAAAAATCAAAACAAAACAAACAAACAAAAAAAGCCAGGTGTCTTGTTGTAATGACACACCATGCTACTACATGAAGTGTCTCTGGTCAAAGAGCACAGACAGGTCCAAGGAGACCAGTGAGTGACCCCCATGTGTCAAATGTGAGATAATTCTGTCCTCTCCTTCCATGGACAACTGATGATTATCTTTCTGGTCCTTGAATCAGAGCTGGCCTGCAATGCTCTGACTGATCAAATGTAATGTCATGCCAGTCTGGGGCCTCCACCCTAGGAAGCTTTGGGAAGCCCTGAGCTCCCATGGGGGAAGAGTATTTCCCCTGCTACAGAGCCCATGTAGAGAAGGTGAGGCCTGAGGCCACATGCAGCAATAGGAAGGTCCAGTCTTCCAGTCATTTCTACCAAGCCACCAGGCAGAAGTGACCCAGATAACTACAGCACCAGCCAAGCCCACTAGCAACAGAAGAACCACCAGCTGAGCCCAGTCAACCCACTGAATCATGACCATGAAAGAGCTGTGTTTGGGGACTATGTGCTACACGGCAATAACTAAGGGAAACATCCAGGGACTAGAAAGCCATCAACAACCACGCAAATGCAGTTTTTCCCTTTCCAGAGGACAGTAGCCTCCAACCTTTGTCTTAGGGTGCTTGAAGAAAGATGGCGACCTTCCCAGCTCCTGCACCACCAATCAAGTAACTAAGGTTCCCAGACCTATTTTCCAGGAGAGGGATGCTGATTGGTCCAACTTGGGTCAGGTGTCTACCCACTAGCCAATCAGCTGAGGCTAGGAACCATGGTTACACAGCAGCCACAAAGAGGTTGTTGCTCTCTGCCCAAAGAGGTGGAGAGGGAAGAGGCAAGTCTCAGAAGAAAGGAAGCATGAGTTGATTGATGACCCCATGGAGTCTCTCACAAGGAGCCTACTGAAACAGCAGAAAAACTCCTAACCCAGGACCTGGCACAGAGAAAGAGTTTAATGAGCACTGTGCAAGGTGCCGAAGTCACGGGCCTGCGGTGGCTGTGTCACCGAGGCTGCTCCTGTGTGGCTGTGCTGTTAGACTGATGTGGCTCTGGAGTGCTGTTAGTATTGTTTTTCCGCCTCTGTAAACTGCCTTCCAGGAGGATCTTCCAGGATGGTCTGAGCTTCTTGTAAAAGCCTTTTACACGCTCTCGAGTGCGAATCCAGTAGTACCACTAAAAACGCTCCATTAAACCAGAATGAGTTCAGAAAATCACAAAAGCTCCCGCTCTGAGAGGCAAGGGATGGAGATTCAGAGGGGCACCGCTCCCAAGGCTCAGGAGAAGACAGCTGTGGCCTCAGCGTGGTGGCAGACCCCAGCAGGGTGGGGCCAGGAACTAGGGAGCCCAGAACTCTCCCTGCACAGTCCCTGCAGTCCTGGGGCTGCTCTGTCCTGTCTGTGGGACAAAGCCTGCAGTGCACCAGGAAAAAGAGGGGATTCCGTGGGGCGCAGCAGTGGGGTAGGGGCCCCAGCAGCCCCGAGTGGGGGCTCTCATACACATCATCTCCTCACACACACTGACATCCTCTCTCCCAGGGGCCCCCAGACTCCAACAGGCACAGAATCTGAGAGCTGATAGAGCACAAGGGGGCGGGAGCTTCTTCCCCCCGCCCCCCCCGTGCACCCCTAAGGCAGTGCGTCTGCTTTCCTGCCCACTTTCCCTTCTGCCAGCTGTGGACATGCTATGTGAGCATTCCACGTCTGAACGAGTGTGTGAGTGAATGTGTGAACACAAGGGTCAGGTCTGTGCCTCTGCCCCCTCCCTCTGTCACCGTTTCCCTTCTGTGTCCCACAGTCCCTGATCCAAGGCCTGAGCTCCCACTGAGCGCTGCTGGGCAGTCATTTCCTCAGACACTCAGCCTCCCATTTTTTTAGAATAGGGACGGGACTGCACCAGCGCGTTCCGGATGAGCTCGATGGAAGGATGAGGTACAAACACATGAAGGAGATTATAACTGAAAAGACAGACACAAGCTAGTTCTGGTGCTGTCACTGTCATCATCACTGTCACCACCTCTGTTTCCATCCCTACAATGACCCGCTCATCCACCACCCCATCAACTCTTTCTCCTGCTCCCTCCCCAGTAACCACACTTCTTCCAGCCCCATTCAGTGCTTAAGTTAAATCACATTTAATTGGTTTTCATCAGGGACTAGAGAAATCAGTAAAGAGAGTCACAGCACTCAGAGTCAAGAAAGGGCCAGCTAAAAAAAACATAGGAATATATTAAACTTCTGGATGGACAAAAATGCGAACACAGTCTCTCTCCCAGTCATGCCTGTGCTCTCGCAGGCAGGTGGACACACGCTCTTCCTCTCACAGCCGAGCACTGCATACTCTTAGGACACGCGGACAGCGCCCTCCTGCTCCAGCCGCCCAGTGGCAAGGGCTGGGGAGGCTTCAAGCGGCTCCAGCACCTGACCCCTCTGCAGCCACCTTACTACACTAAACTTGGGCTCCGAGGATATATGCTGGACTCCGAGGCACGCTTGAGTGGGGCCAGGCAGCCTTAGACGATTCTGTTCTCCAGAATGGCCAGCCGCTTACTCACTGCTTCGAGTAAAGGCCGAGTTAAGGAGTGGCACCCCGCTTCCTGTTCCCTCTGGGCCCCTCTGCCAGGGCTTCCTCCCACCCCACCTCCACCCTGAGTCTTCCCCACTGCCAAAATTTACCCACTCTCTCTGCTCAGAATGGTGCTTTCTAAAATCTTGGCCGGTTACCATGAGCTCTGTGTACCCACCGAGCCCTGGGGTGCTGGGACACACAACAACTGGCTGAGCCCTGCAGGAAGCCACCTGATCTTGGCTGAGTCTGGGAGCTGCTCAGGGCCCAGGTCATCTCTAAAGGGGGCTGGTCATGGCGCCACTGTGAACCTGAGAAATGGGGAGCCCAGGGAGCACATGTTTCTCGAATATTTCCAGGATTCTGTGTGCGGCAAATCCCTAGAGCTTGGTCCTGCCCCAACTTCTCCCTGAACCAAGGGTGGTGCCTGCCTCTGGCAGAATCCAGGCCTTCCTCATAGTGTCACAGATGAAGAGGACCCAGCCCCACAGTGCCCAGGCCCCCTCCCTCCTCCTGCACCCCCAGCTCAGCCCCTGGAAAAGGATATGTTTCCTGGTCAGGGCCTGCAGCAGCCCCTCCACTCTGGCCTGGAACTTCACAATGGACTCACAGGCACACGGGTCTTCCTCTGTGGTAGACAAGAAGTGGGGAAAGAGCAGGAAGCTGCTGCTCATTGGCTGCAGCGATGAAGCCTGAATCACTTCCCAGGGCCAGCACTAGGAAGACCTAGGGGATGTGGAGCCCAGGCTGTCTGAGACGGCAACGCTCCAGAATGACAGAGGGATGACCCCGGACTTCCTCCTGGTTCCTCAGAGCCAGGACAAGGAACTACGGTGACAGCTCCTATGCTAAGTGCCTACTGTGAGTACTGTTCAGGGCCTCTGTGTCCCCTCAGTGACTCCCAGTGCCACCCCTGTGGGTTGGATGTCATTAGTCCCACTTCACAAGTGAAGAATCCAAGACTGAACAACTTCCTGTGTCTTTCATTGTCAAAGCCAAGATGCAAACCCAGCCATGCTGGCTCCAGGGCCCAGAAGGCTTTCCACCTGGACCAGCTGGCCAGGGCACTAGAGGGATGCAGGACATGGCAGGGTGCCATCCTGGTTCCCCAGTTATTAACAGTTGTGCCCCCCCCACATACCCTGGTTACCCCTGGTTATCTTGTCTAAAATAGGGACAATGATCTTCCTTCCAAGGAAGAAAAGCGATGAACAGCACTGAGACCAGCGCCATCTGTAAGCAGAGCATGTGATACGTGTTTGCTAGGAGCAGAAGTTCCCCGTCCAGCCACCTCCTGGTACTTCCAGCTTTCAATGCCAATCTATCCCTGCCCACCACCCACACCCAGTTCAGGGAGGGGTGCAACACACACACACACACACACACACACTCACTCTCTCTCTCTCTCTCTCTCTCTCTCTCTCTCTAAACCCCGCCTGCCCTCCCACTGGTGCCCCAGCCTCACTCACCCACACAGATTTTCTTCTGCAGCTTCTTGCCAATCTGGTTGATGGTCTTGAAGTCAGCTGAGTAGAAATAGTGCTCTGCCACAGGCTCAGAGGCAATTTCCCTCAGCTCGTCCTCCACGGCATTGCCCACACCCACAGCAAACATCTTAAACCCTGCCGGAGCCACAAGACAGGAAGGCAAACTACAGGGGCCCCTGAGCCTCCAGGGAACCACTCAGCAGACAATACCTCCTAGTGGCAGCTGCCGGAATTACAGGCACAACTCCTGGAACCATACTAACGAGGAAACCAACATTTACTGAGGTTCTACCATGTGTCAGACCCTGTACCAGGAGCCTCATTTCAAACTCATCTAGTGGCTTTTATTTTCCTTGTTTATTTTGTGATAAAACTGTAGGTCAGGGCTGTGCCCAAGCGGGTTTGCCTTCCAACAACTGGGGCATCCTTAGGACAAAATATTCAGCTGGAAAAGTTTCAAACCTCACCTAGGAAAGAATCATGAAGGTAAGCCACTCTCTCTTCTGGGGCCTCCGTTCTGTCACCCATATAAGAGAGATCTGGCTGACAAGTCCCTTTTCATTTAAATGTAGCTGGGCTTAGGGCACTAATCAGAAGGCACCCAGATAAACCATCGGTGCCCCTCACCATCGGTGGTGTCGAGGGTGCATGGGCAGGCAGCACCTACCAAGATCCTTGGCCTTTCTGGCTGCATCATTGATGTAGTCCTGGCTCCGGCCATCTGTGAAGACAATGCCCACCTTCTGGGCACCAGGCCTGGCACCACTGGACACTGTGAAGGAGTTGTCGATGAGATACTTGAGGGCAGCCCCAGTCATGGTGCCCTTCTCCATGTAGGACATGTTCCGCACAGCCGCCTTGATGTCCTTCTTGGTGTGGAAGCGGCCCAGTGGGAACTCCTGGCGCACGGAGCTGGAGTACTGTACCAGCCCCACCTGGGCCAGCCTGTCTGACACATCCAGGGTGTCCACGATCTGATTGATGAACTTCTTCACCAACTCAAAGTTCTCTGGCCGCACGCTCTTAGATCCATCGATGAGGAAGACCAGGTCAGTAGCTGAATTGCCGCTGCCACCGCTGCAGACTGGAGAGGCACAAAGCCATGGAGATGAAACTTAGGACAGAGGCAGCATCCTGGCCTTGGCTGGGCACCTGCCACACACACTGGGCTGGGGATCATCTGCTTGTATCCTGAGAACCCCCACTCTACAGCCAGGACTACCGGGAACAGCAGTGGAACAGCTGACAAATGACACAGGCCAGGGTGGGCACTGAGATTTAAGCTCAAGACTATGTTAGTCTTTCAGGTACACTAAGCCACCACCGAGTGTGACCGAGAGCAGGACACAAGTCAGGAGAGAGCCACATGCGGGCACCAAACTCTGGGAGGCACCGTATTCTTTAAAGAGTGCTCCCAGAGCCAAGTGCTGGGAGGCCTGGACGATTTCCTGAGGGCAGCCCCAGCCCCACTGCCTCCCGTCCCCTCCCCTCCCCAGGCTTGTGCCCCTCCAGCCCGCTAACCATTGCAGGTCTTGCCATCAGTGTTCAGGGTGAAGCCTTCATGGCAGGCACAGGTGTAGGAGCCCGGAGAGCTGAGGCACACCTGCTCACAGTCGTGGTCCCCCGTGGCACACAGGTCTGACACCACTGGGGGACAAGAGGTGGCCTCGGATCTCACATCTCCCTGCCTAACCATGGAGCCCGGGACTCCTCACACACTCAAGGGAACTGAGACCACACACACACACACCACATGAAGTCTCTGCCCACGGCAGGAATTCCTGCATCAGGACCAAACTCCCTGAAGAAGGTGAGAATGCCCAGGATCAAAACAAAAGCCCTCAAAAAGGGTAAAGGCCACAAATAAAAGTCTCTTGATCTATTCCGTTCACTGCTATTCCGTCCACCAAGCACACAGCATTGAACACAGCACGTAGACCTGCATCAATGAAAATGTGTTCACCTCCAGGCATTGAGCATTACAGCTTCGTCTTATTCACCGTCCCTGCTCTGAGACCCATTTCACAGATGGGAGGATCCTACTCTGGCCCAGCCCACTTAAGCCCCGCCCCACCGGGCCCCACCCTCCCCACGAACCGCAGAAGGCCTCCTGGAATTTCTTGGACAGTTTCTCGATGACACTGTAGCTCTCCACGTAGTCCACGTGCTCATCCTGCGGCTCGCTGGCCATCTGTCGCAGCGTGGCCTTGTCCACGCGGCCCACTCCAATGGCGAATAGCTCGATGCCACTGGCCCGGGCCCGCGCAGACACTTCGCGCACGCTGTCCTGGGGTCTCCCGTCCGTCACCACGATGACCACCTGCAAACGTGGGACCCTATAAGGAACAGCCCTCTCCTCCCCGCGTGGATCCAGCGAGATGCCCACTAGGCTTGACCGAGAAGGAGCTGGAACTGCCAGGCCAAGGTCACACAGGGCTTGACCCCAGGGAAGAAACTGGCTCGAATGAGACCATCCACTTGGGCTCCAATCGTCTGTTCCTAAGCAGACAGACAGACCTAAGGTCACAGGAAGCCTATGCCTCACCGTCAACCCCGGGCTCTTCGTGGATCTGCTTCCTCTTAGGTAACGCTTCCCCTGAGGCTGGGAGGTGCAGGGATCCAGAGCTACTGAGATCCAAACGGGATCTCAGCGCCCCGGGCTCTGGAGCTCAGCATGGATAGAGTGGCCCCCAGTTACTTCTTGACCCAGCCAAACAACGGCTCCAACGCCGTGCATTCTGAAATACAGCCACCAGATGGCAGCCGAGGACAACGAACGGGGCGGCTTCCTCTAGGCTGGCGGGGTCTGCCTCTGCCCTAGGAGGAAATGCCAACCCCCAAGCGCTCCTCCTGGACCCAACCCAGGGAGAGAAAATGGGCCTCTTTCCTTCGCCACTCCCCAAGATGTGACATCCCTCCCAGAGAGGGCAAGTGTTTGTCTGCTCACACCGTCCTCTGACCTGGCCAGGGTCCACATGACTCCCCATCCTGGGCTGCTGCCCCCACCCGACCCCTTTGCTGCCCTGCCGTGAGTCCCTGCTTGAGCCCTGGCCTGGCTCTCTGTGGTAGAGCATCTTGGTTACGACCGGCTGGTTCAGAAACATACCACCTTCCAGAGCCTGTTTTTCCATCTGTGAAAGGGATCTGTGGTTGGTCAAGGGAGACACTTCCTCGTGAGGAGCCCCAGGAAGGGGCAACTGTTCACTTCAGTACTGTTAGCCGAGGCCTCTGGAGAGGGATTGCCCGAAGGTCCTCCCTGCCAAACACCGAGGCTTCTGACACAATACACCTAGCTGTGACTGCCCATGCCACATGATGCCAAGCTCCCCAGAGGCCCCTACCCCTTCAAGCTGCACCCCAGCCATGGGACTTTCTTTGTACCTCAGATGTGTGCACAGGGAAAGGCTCCATGCTACTGGACAGGGGCCTGTACAGAGAGGCTGAACCCCTCTCTGGGGCAGGTTCCCGAAGCCTCTGCATCCCCTGCTGAAGGAGCACCGTCCTTCCTTGCCCGCCCGACAACTAGGTAACCCTGGAGATGTGCAAGCTGCAGGGATCACCACGTGGCATCACCATCATGGCCATCACATCCTCTAGGCCACAACTGTCGGTCTGGGCCCCAGCATGTCTTGTGGGAATCCCAGGTGGCCCCACCACAGAAGACATGCAGGTTGGCTGCTGAATCTTCTCCTTGGTGGACAGTGATGGCGGGGTTTGCATGCCGTGCTGTTTGAGCACTTCTACCACTAAGCAACTGGGCAAGTTGCTTCAGCTCACTGTGCCTTGATTTCCCCATCTGTGGAACTGGGATTCCCCCCTCCGAGCAGTACTGCCACCATCTGCTGCGTACTAGAGATGGTGGACAGAGAAAGATAAAAAGGAAGCCCCTGGCCTGGGGCTCTGCGCAGGTGAAGGGTGGCTGCTGCTATGGGGAGGTGCAGGTGGCCGTGGGAAGGGTTCTGGGCACCTTGCAGGCCCTGCACTGAGCCTGACATAGTGTCTGTGTGGCTGCAGAGCCAGAGGGCTCTTGAAGCCTCGGGGGTGGGGCAGCAATGGGCACCACTAGGTTTTCCTGAGCCCCATGCTCAGTGGATTACATTAATGTGGACTGATGCACTTGGGCCTGCTGGGTGTCACGCTTGCGCTGAGCACATGATGCCAATGCCTTTGGCCCTCAGATCAGAACTCTGGCCAGGCGATCCACAGATGAGGAAACTGAGGCACCACGGACAGAAGTAACACACTTAGGGGTGGCGGGGAGGAGTGGCTTGAACCCGGATGGAGGGAGGGCAAGGCTGCACTTTCCCCTTACATAAGCACCTGCCTGGCCTGCTCCACCTCTCAGCCCTGGGACTCACCACAGAGCAGAAGGAAAACGGCCACAAGATCTCCCGGTGGTTAGCGCCAGTCCTCAAGGACAAGGCGGGCTCAAACCAGCTCTGTCACTCCCAGACTTTTGCCTGCCGAGCTCCCTCTGGGCCCTCATTTCCCCTGGCTCTGGAGTGGCCTGCTCTCAGATGTGAGCCAAACGGGAAACACAGCTAAAGGCCCTGCATGGGGCTGGCGCACCCACCTTGCTGATGTCAGGAGACCTGGTGCGACCGCCCTCGGCATCGCTGAGGGCCCTGGTGATGGCGAACTGGAGGGCCAGGCCGGTCATGGTGCCCGTGGACAGCGGCTGGATGCGGTGCACTGCCTGCAGCAGCGCCGCCTTGGAGCCGTGGGCGTGCAGAGGGAATTCCTGCTTCACCGAGCTGGCGTAGTTGACCACGCCCACCCGGGTAGCGTTGGGCCCCACGTCCAGCGACTCAATGACCTGTGACAGGAACATCTTCACCTTCTCAAACTCCACGGGCCGCACGCTGCGCGAGCTGTCCACAACAAACACCAGGTCCCTGGGCCGTGTCCTACAGAAGTGCCCTGGGAGGGGGGAGGGGAAAAAAGCAAACAGTGGGGGCTGAGGCCCAAGGTCAGGGCCTCTGAGTGCTCAGGGTGGGGCCTGTGGGTCGCTGCCTAGACACCCAGAGGCTTGTAAAGGCCACCGCTTGCCCGTGGGAAGAGAGTCTCAGCCAACCTTGGGCACCTCGCTCCCTGCCTGAGCCTCAGTTTCCTCTTCTGTGCAGTGGGCTGCCAGCCCTTCTCTTACAGGAGCCTTTGAGGATGAGCAGGAAGGCACAGAGGAGGCCAGCACGTGATTACAGGGCCAGCCTTCAAAACACTTCATGTTTCAGCCCAGCTCTGCTTCCAGAAAGCAAGGTGGCTGTTGGCTTAAGTGGGCAGGTGGGCAGGGAGGGTAGTGAGCACAGCCACAGGGCCTCTGCAATGCCCATCAACATGGGTATCAAGGTGAATCCACAGAGTAGAGGCAGATCCCCAGGGCCTGGTGGAACCAGCTGGCTCAGGTCTCCCAGGCAGAGCCAGGAGCAGGAATCCCAGTGGCAACCCTGACAGCCTGACCAGCTGTGCCCCAAGCCTCTCCCCAAGGTGCAGTGTCCCTGCAGCCCATGGAGCCTGCACCACATGCCAGGAGGGACACGGAGGTACAGGCAGGGCTGAGGGGTGAGGGGACCCTTGTCTGCCGGGTCTGCACTCAATGAAGACCGAGAACAGCCAGGTGCAGTGTTGCGCACCTGGAATCCCAGCACTCTGGAGGCTGAGGCAGAATTGGAAGTTCAGCCCAGCGCAGACAATTTAGCAGGACCTTGTCTCAAAATGAGAAATTAAAGCAAAGCTCCAGAGCAAAGTCTGTGGGTTCAATTCCCAGTATCAAAAGAAGTAAAGTGGCATGAGGAGGCTGGGGACACAGCTCAGTGGCGCAGTGTCTGCCTGCCATCCACACAGCCCTGGGCTCAAGCCCCAGGACCACAAAAGGAGAAAAGAGAAGAAAGGTATCACAAGCACCGGAGCTCAGCTGGAGCTGTAGACCCAGCAGCCCTGGAAGTCTGAGTCCTCCTGCATGTGTCCCCAGTCAGCCTGCCCTGGTTGTGGTCAGCGTCTCCACCTCTGTAGCTCCCACGGCCCCTCGTGCTCCCTGCCCCCATCCTTGATCCTAGGAGCCTCTGCCCATCTCCAGCTGTCACTGGGAGCTCTCGCCCAGTGTCCCCACATCGCGCAGCCCCCTCACCTCTGGACTGGGGGACAAGGCCAAGGCCAAGTGGGGACTGGAACAGCAGCAGCAGGGCGCAGAGACCCAGGCTGGTGCCAGGGGTGACCCTCATGGTGGAGGCAGCGCGGACAGTAGCCAGCACAGTGCAGGGGGCCCGTGGACCCAGTCTTATCAGCCTCACCCACCAGGCGGGCCCCCTGACAGCCCAGGGGCGGGGCCAGGCTGAATGGAGGTGTGTGTGTGCCTGGAAGGGAGGGATGGAGCACCCGCCCTGGCCGGGAGAGGCCCCTCCAGCCACAAGGGCTCCTTTGCCTGCAGAAGCAACCAGAGCTGCAGCTGGCATTCAGGAACTCTCAGGTGGGCGGGGGCGGCCAAGCCCGTGCGTGTGTGCCGACTTGGAGCTGCCCGCCAGCGACACGTGAGGGCAGAGCCTCACTCCAGCCTGTCCAACACCTTCCTCTCACACCCGTCCTTCCCGACCCACAAGTCCAGTCCCAAATCTTCATGCACAAGCTTTCCCGCCTGCAGCCTGGTGTCCCTGCCCATCCTCTCCAGCTGCCCCCAACTGTCCTCCAAGGCCACTGGGTCTTGCATGTGCACTGTCACCTGTCCAGAACAGGTTTCCTCCTGCTGATTCTTCCCAGCACAACCCTTCAAGGTCTTGACTGCGGCCAGCACAGGTCAGGAATGTGGTGCGGGGCAGATTGGGCACTGGATCTCCTGGGTTGGCTAAACATGACCTGTGAGACCACAGACAAGCTACTTCACCTCTCTGGACCCAGAGGGCCCTCTATAAGTGACAGAGGACACCAGTGCCTACCTCTCGAGTGTAGAGGAGTTGTATCCCTATCTCAGTCAGTCCTCTCCACAGCACAGGAGCCACGCTGTCACTCCCTGCACTCACAGGAGAGGAGCTGAAGAACAGAGATCTGCTGTGACCTGCCTGGAGTCACACAGCTAAGAAGTGTCACTGCAGGGAAGGGGCCCTGGGCCTGGCTCTCAGCCCCACGGCTGGCTCTTCTGTGCCCACCTCTCCCCTCAGCCCCTGGCAATGCTCCTCTACCTGTCCCATGAGCTGGAAGCCTGTGCCGAGTTCATTTCTGCATTCGACACAGAGAAGGCCAGGATCAAGGCTTGGGCATGGTGGACGTGGGCTGGTGACCTCCAGGGACATATGGGCATTAGATGTAATGCCCATGGTGACATAGGGAGCACAGCTGCCTGTTCTATTCACATGTGGGGTCTGGGAAGTGGCAAGGATGAGAAAAGGTCATGGGGGAGCCCGTGATTGGGTGCTGGTGGCTTCATAAGGAGACAGCAGCGGTGCTTACCTGCAACACCAGAACTCGCAAGGCTGAGACAGGAGGATCGATGCAAGTTTGAGACCAGCCTGGGCTACAAAGTGAGCTCCAGGCCAGCCTGAACTACATAGCCAGACCCTGTCTAAAAAAGACAAAGAAAAAAAAAATTCCAAAAGCAAATAAAATTCAATGCTCAATGCCTGTAATCCCAGCAGAGGATCACAAATTCTAGCCCAGTCTGAGCAATTTAGTGAGACACTGTCTCAAAACAGGAAACAAAAAAGGTTTTGGGATATCACTCAGGCACTGAGTTCAATCACCAATATGACCAAAAATAAAAGAAATGGAAGGTGAGTATGGTGGGCACACACCTGTAATCCAGCACTTGGGAGGCTGAGACAGGAGGATCACAGTGAGTTCAAGGCCAGCCTGGGCTACAAAGTAAGCTCAAGACCAGCCTGAACTGCATATCAAGACACAGTCCAAGAAAAAAAAAAAAAAAAGACAAAGAAAAAAAAGCAACTTAGATCCAGCCAGCTGTTCTCAGAGTTTCCAGCAATAAGAATAACAATCTTTATATATAACAAAGTCACTCACTTGGTCTCTTTTATTCTCCTAACAAACCTGGGAGGCCAGCAGATTCAGTGGAGTGTATTAGCCCAATTGTCAGACGGGAAAACTGAGGCCCAGATACATTCACTGACTAGCCTGAGGTTACCAAGCCAGGTTAGGAGCAATCAAGCCTCAAGCATAGGCCTCCATCCCTGCATGTCCACGTCAGTGAAAAGGCATTATGGAGCCTTTCTTCGGCCTCCTCCTTTTAATTTTCCCTTGCTCCCGTTCACTGCTCCCCTAAATCTGAAGCCCCTTCCCTCCACAACCTTGGCAATCTCTTTCCCTTCTCTGCATACACCGTGGGGTCACCTTTCCCCACATTGGGCTATAAATGTTTCCCCTTCCTCCCTGGGGGACTTTCCCATCTGTCACCACTATACTCCTGGGGATCTGCAGAGCAAATGAAGAAATGAATGAGAAGGAGAAGCGAGGGACAAGTGGGTCCCAGGCTCCGGTCCACCACTGAGGGTCAGCCAGGGGCCAGCGCTGGTCATCCCACCTGGCTGAGGGGGACGAGAGGAACGTGAGCGGGTCCGGCGGTCGGCGGCGCCTCCCCAAGGATGGGGTACAAAGCGCTGCTGGCCGGCAGGCAGCTGGGCACATGAAGTCGCTCTTTCAGCGGCGTGTGAATGGTGAGTTTGTGGCCACGGCCGGGAACACAGCTGCCTTCTCTCCCGGGCCGCAGGTCGGCTTCCAGGACCGGCCCAGCTTCCAGGGCGAAGTCGGCCGCCGGCGCATTCCGCAGTGAGGCCACAATGGGGCTGGAAGTTCCGCATATACATTCGGGAGAGAAAATAAATATTTGTATGTTTAAAAATGTAAAATATTTTCCTTCAGGACTCAAATTTGGGAACAGTGCATCCGATATTAGCCAGAAGGGAGCGTGCACGCTCAGAGGGGGCCTCTTTCAGGCTGCTAGGGCTTTAGTGTCTGTCCAAGCGACAGTGTTCACAATGGCCTGAGGGGCCCCGGGGCGGGAGGGGGGGGCTCTGTGGAAGCACACAGGAACCCCGCTCCAGGGCCCCCAGCCTCACTCTCCTCCAGATCCGACCTGGCCCACCCGGCTCCCCTAGGACGGGACTCACAGGCCCTTGCGTCGTGTGCTGCACCGGAGGGCCCCTTGCTGCTCGGCACAGTCCTGCAGCACTCATGTAATAGTAGTTGCTTAATTAATGGTAAAGATCTTCTATTAATTCTGGGACAGCCCACTTTCAAAAAACTTCTCCTAGTCAGTGACTATGAAATGCCCTGTTGGAGGTATAGTTCATGTGTTTATTCCAAATGCACGCTCAAATAAATTCCAACAAATTAAATTTAGGTTCTGCACAGAGCAAGAAAATTCTTCTCGCATCTGTGGCAGTGCACACACGCGATAAGGGGGCATCCTGAGAGGAGGGAGGATTTCACAGCTGGACAGCTGCATTGATTCCGGCCTCCGTCACCTGCCAGCAACAGGGATCCCTGGACAGTGAACCCCTGAGTTATGAGCAACCTGACATATGAACATCTTGGTTCTGACCAGAATTTTAGGTTTAACTTACAATCAGAGTCCTGAATTCTGACCCAGATGCCAGCTGCTTGTGCTTCCAGACTGTCTCAGATACAGATTTGACCTTTAAAGAGTTCTGAAAGGAACATTCCCACATCCTTTCCTGTATGGGGTAAGTTGAAAAATCCTGGGCGCATGTCTCTCTAAGGATGCAGAGATCTGCCTGCATACGGGAGAGACTTCAAAGGCTGCGTGGAGGAGCCTGCGCTTCCCATTGACAACTCGAGTTGCAACCGGCCCTCGGGAGCACTTTGAGCTCCTAAGTCAGGGTCCTCTGTGTCTCCCTCCCTTCTCGGCTTGTCCGCTTCAAGTCTGTGACAATGTCCCCACACTGATGTCACGGCAGCTTGTGAGAAGAAATGCAAATGCTGTGTGGATGTGTGCTGTTCTTTCCAGGCTTTCGTGTATCAGTCAGCAGAGGAGATATAGCAGTAACAAACATGCCCCTGAGACCTGGTGACTTTGCCTAGGCTGCATTTCTCTCCCGTAGTGAAGTGCAACAGCCCACAGGTGCCTCCCTGCATGAGCTCTCCTGTACAGGCTCTACTGGCTGTCCCACATCCGCGTGTCTGCCCATGTATCTGCCCACGTGGCTAAGAGAAGTGTCTCTCCCAGCTCTCAGACAAGAACCGCACATGGTCTGGCTCCTGGAAGCCCAGAGGTGGGCTGTGGGCACTCAGTAAGCGCTGACAGCCTCTGCTGCCCTCCCTGTATCAGCTCCATATCAGACTTTGGGCTTGGGCTGGGCACAGTGGAACAGATCTGAAGTCCTAGCTGCTTGGGAGGCTGAAGCATGAGTTTGAGGCCAGTCTGAGCAACATAGCAAGACCTGTCTCCCCAAAATTCAGATTTAGTGGGACGTCTAAAGCTTTTCCTGGTGTCCTGGCCACTTTTCCAGGCCACTGCTGGCCTCCCATCCCTTCCATCCTCCCCACTGCTCCCCATCCATCCCCCTCTTCTCTGCCCCAAGATGAGTCACTCTTTCCTCTGTCTCCACCGGTACATTTTTTCCCCTTAATTGGAGCCAGTTCCCTAGCAGATCTCATGCACTGGGTGACTTTTGCCCTGCAGACGAGGAGGGGAGCACAGGTGAGCTGCATGGGTTTGGCCCTAGGATCCTCAACTCAGACTGCAGGTTGCTGCCCGCCCCACCCAGTGGCCCTGCAGCCCACCTCCGAGGGCAGGCCACCCGCACCAGGGAGTTCACGAGGACACACAGTGAGAAGGGTGCTGGGAGTGAGCCCCAACCATGGCTAGGAGCTGGGAACAAATACCCATCCCCACCTCCACCCCAAGACACTCTGGGGTGTGTTCTTGGGACTTCCCTGAGAAGGCTCCAGGAGGGGGAGGCTGCTGTCACCACAGAGGTGACTGTTTATAAACGCACCATCTATGTTCAGTGGTCCCTTCCCTGCCTCCCTTTCTCCGCTCTCACTGTTTCCAGGAGTTCCCTGCAGCCACATGCTTTTCCAGGGCTACTGAAAAGGTGGCTCCACCTCCTGAGTCCACCGCAGGCCTTCTATTGGGGCCTCTGGGAAGAGAGGGAGAACAGGACCCGAGGCTGGGGCAGAATCCTCACTGCTGTACCTGCATGTTACTGAGTATATTGCCATTTGTTTGTCAGACTGTTAAAATCTGGTTGCAGTTTTACAGAAGAAAGACACAGACTCCCGG